GAGAGAGAGAGAGAGAGAGAGAGAGAGAGAGAGAGAGAGAGAGAGAGTCAGTGAGTAGGAAACCTGGGTGTGAAGGGAAGGAAAGGAGATCAGGTAGGGAAGTGTGGCCACCCAGACCCCTACACATCTCTCTGTTTGTCTTTTATGTGTGTCTCTACACTGTGGCCCTGTCAGTTTGTCCCACTTAAAATGCCAACTTTCTGCCCATTCCCTATCAGTCTAGCCCTTGGAACCCAGCCCCTGAGCCCTTCTCCAGAAGTTCTCCCTGCCTCTTGCATATCCTGCAGCCTACGCTCCACCAGTGCCCTCTCCCCGCTAGAAGCTTCTGCTTCTTTCTTTAGAATTCAGACAGCTCCATTTGGCCCACTGTCTGAGGCATGAGCATTCCTGGACTGGGCTTGTGAGTTTGATAATAAATCCTAGCCTGTAAATAGTCTCCAAGGTTCTTACCCCACCACTACCACCACACCACCACCACCACACATACACACAGACACACACGTACAGACCGTCCTTCTCTCCCAAATACCCACAAAGAGACATTCCTCAGAATGTGTGCTCCCTCCCAGGCTAAGCTGCTCACTTTCCAGCAGGGGGCAGCAGTTCAGCTTAACCATCAGTTTAACAACTAAAGCTGACTGTGCACCAGCAAGGGACCACCTACTGTGTGCACTGCCAGTGCCCAGGCAGGGACAGAGAAAGAGAGGAAGGAGACTGTTGACACCAAGTTAAATGGAGTTGTCTGAACTCTAAGCAAGGAGGTGGGAGGGAGCTTTTGTAGGCAGAGTTGGGGTAGGGTGGGTTGCAGGATAGAGGCAGGGAGAGGGTCCCCTCAATCACATCATAGGCCTGGATCAGCTGAAGCTGCTGTGACTCTAGATTGGACAGAAGAAGCCCTAGGACCAGCCCCATTCCTATAGCTCAAAACAGCACATAAAGATTAAAGATTGAGAGTCCTAGCCTAGGCCAGGGCTGGGGTACGCTGGTTACTGTCATTTGGGGACTTCTTCCTCCAAATGGATAGTGTGTGTGTGTGCATGTGTGTGTGCGTGCGTGCATGCATGCGTATGTGTGTGTGTGTGATTCATAGAAAATGTGTCACTGAGTAGATTTCCAACTTGTGTGTGATTTCCAACTCATGTATGAAATCACAAAAAGACTAATTAGCTCCAGGACAGAGCATTCTGGAGCTGTTGGGGGAAAGGTTCAAAGTCAGAGTCGATACTAGAATCTGAAGCGGTGCCACTTGCAGCAGTGGTGAGCACGGCTGTGCTGATGTGCCTCGTTGGCAAGCAGCTGGCACACACGCAACACTGGGCCTCCCTTCAAATCCCTCTCTTCCCGACGGCATTAAGCCCCCAGCACTGTTCACAGTGCTCTGCTCATGAAGAACGGAGCCAGCAGGCGATTAGGCTCAGATTCCAGCCCATGAGAGGGACAGACAGCTGCAAGCACACACTCCAGCACCACCCCGACTCCATGGGCTCAGAGGAGCAGGGTCTTCTGACGAGGTGACCTTTCTACTGAGATCAGCAAACTGATTAAGTGGGCAGAGTGGAAGCTGGTGCCAGCCAAAGCCAGAGCCTTGCAGAGAGGAGCTGGTGAGCAGGAGAGCCAGAGTGACAGAGAATGAGGCCGGTGACGTGCAGGTACAATCTTATTGTCTGAGGTAGAGACTGTATGTGTGTATATGGGCATGTATGTTTGTGCCTATGCGTGTACAGGAGCACATATGTGTGTACATGAACAGAGGACAACCTAGAGTGTCACTTCTCAGGTGACTTCCTCCTTGTTTTTGAGTCAGAGTTTCTCATTAACCTCGAATCATCTAGTAGGCCAGGCTGGCTAGCCAGCAGACCTCAGCAATCAACCTGTCTTCACCTCCTACGGGCTAGGATTATTAGTGCACATCACGCCTCCTACCCACACACACACACACACACGTACACATTAAAAAAAAAAAAAGCATGGGTTTTGAGGATCAAAGTCAGGTCCCAAATGAATGAACTCTGTAGCCTGAGTTTTTAAATCTCATTTCTTTTCCTATGCCACCTGAATGCTAAATCAGCTCTAGATGGTAGGAAAACTCTAAAACTCATCCTGGTGGCAAGCAAGAAGTAAGAAACGGGGGGATTAGAACCTGCAATCCCCAAGCCAATGATTATTACACAGCCCTGAGCTGTCTCTGGTTACATGATGTGAGGGTTCTTGTGCAGAAAAATCGGGGGGCTGCCCACCAGACGACGGGCCTTGCCTTCAGGTGACTCCGGATCAGTGCATGAATGACCGCCAGTGCCCCTCATCTATGAAGTGCTGCTCCAGAGCCTGCTTCCGCCAGTGTGTCCCTAGGGTCGCAGGTAAGTGCCTTCTCCACTCTGCCGACCACCCAAGCTACAAGCCCCAGGGCTGGTGGGCACAAGCAAGACTCACTCAAGCCCCTCTGTTGCAGTGAAGCTGGGCAAGTGCCCCCTGGATCAACTCCACTGTCTCAGTCCTATAAAGCACATGTGTAACCAAGACTCGAACTGCTCAGGCAAGAAGCGATGTTGCCTCAGTGCCTGTGGCCGGGACTGCCGAGACCCCAGCAAAGGTATCATTCCTGGGGGCCAGGACAGGGTCTTCCTCTCCAGCCTAGCTCTGGGATGCCCTTCCAGGTTAAAAATCTCTGCAGGACACCTCCCTCAGAAGCGAGGCCCCCAGACACAGCCACAGCTGGAGAAATAGGGTGCAAGGGCTCCCACTAGCATGGCAGAGAAACCGTCTTCCTCAGTTCTGCATGTGCTGTGCCACCGAGACCACAGCCCTGAGCTGCCTTGGACATCCGTTTGCCCTTCTGAAGGAGGCTGGGGAGTACTGTCTTAGCAATCAGGAGTGATAGTATCTAGATGGAGGAATCAGACTCAGAGTTGTGTTACAGAAGAGGGTTAACCCTTTCTTTCCCTTTCTTTAGGCTAATTCCAGCTTGGGATTGTGTGGCTCGGCACCACAGGTGTGGTTCTCACCAGGAAGAGATCACAATGGGGGCCAGGGATCTTCCCACCCACATCATCTCTCCAGAGCAATTGTAACCTTCTGACAGACCCTGGCCTGTTGTGATGTCCCCTACAACGCGTGCCTCCTGGTTTCTCTTCCTGCGTGCCCTGATCCATTGCAGACCCTAAAGACACACCTCATCACCCCTGTCCTCTGTCCTCTGTAACACTGAGCTTCCTACCCCACCTCATAATCATTTTTACATCTCCCTGCATGCTCTGTTTCCTCCACTTAAAATATCAACTCAGGCAGCCCCTTCTCTATGGAGCCCTGAACCCACCTCTAGACAGTTCCCCCCCCCCAAAATGTATGTCTAGAAGAATTTCCCAAACATCAGTCCATCCGTACATGCCGTTACCATCTTCACCATTTCTGCAGAACCACACTGCCATGTGTCAAGTTGTGTAAAATGTGTAAAATAACCCCTGTACAACTATTTAATTTACTTAATATCTTCATTTAAATGGCTCACTTTGGGGTGTAACAATTCATTTCCAAAGGATGGTGTGTGTGTGTGTGTGTGTGTGTGTGTGTGTGTGTGTGTGTGTGATGGGGGTATCACTATAGTAAATGAGATCTGCAAGATCACTGGTCAGAAACAATGGAATTGTGAAGCCACTGTAATGAAAACAGCAGTTTCCTTAAATTAATTCGTGCTTGATTTAAATAATACCATTAAATTCTAGCTCGATATGGTCAGCCGCCAAGGCAGAGCCTGCTTCTGTTCTAATAAATGAAGATTAATAAGGGTTAAAGAGAGGTTGGAGATTCAGAGCTCTGCCTGAGTCAGCTTCCCCGGGCAGAGTTGGGAGCAAAAAGAGAGCCTCCTTGCTCGGGGAGTCGATGTTGTAGCCCAGTGCTTGCTAAGATCAGTCCGTTTGTACTGTATCCAGGGAAGGTGCTCCAGCGATTGGATGTCCTGTGTAGAGTAAGTCTGTCTCCTCTGCTGGGCAGTGTCTCACTTGCCCCGGTTTCCCCGGAGCCCAGACTATAGTCAGAGTATAATAAGGGAGAGGGGTCAACAAGGCTTCATTCATTCCTTAGACCCAGCTACCTGAATTCCTGACTGTCCTTCCTCCCCAGCACTCATCTGGGAGGGGAAAGAAGGCACCCCGCCCCTTTCTCTGCTGAGACTCCTTTTGTCTGCTACACTCAGGCTAATATAGATAAGGTGGATTTGGGGATTCTAGCTCTCTGCTTCCTGTTCTTATGACCCCGGCTGTGTAGCCCGGGTGAGGCCGTCGCCTCTTCTGCCTGCAGTCCCAGAAGATGGACCAAGTCTCACTTTCTGACTGCCACAGCCCTTCTCACTAGGTCCTGATGCCTGAACTGTTAACTCATAGTAACAGTTGCTAACAACAAGGACCAAGGTGACGCCTAGGGAAAAGAAAGCTCTCCCGAGTCGCAGGACCTGTGCCATCTTGGATTTTTCTCGGCCTCCTTCTGGGCCTCAGTTTCCTCACCCATCACATTAACGCAGATAGTACAGGGGATCACAGTCTCTGCCCCCCATGTCCCTTCTCTGTCACAGATTCCCAAGGGAATAGTGTATGTCCCATCTGTAATGGTTAGTTTAAAAACTGCCAACGTGGCAGAATCTAGAATCACAGGGGAGACAGGCGCTGGACATCCCTGTAGGGAGTTATCTTGATCTGCTAATTGGTGTAGGAAGCCCCATCTTGATTGTGGGTGGATCCGTTCCCCAAGTATTGGATTCTGAGCTGGACAACATGAGCGAGAGAGCTGAGTAGAGCATATGTGCACTCATCACCTGCTTCTGATCAAACACGTGGTCAGCTGCTTTGTCATGTGACTCCCCTGCCCTGAAGAACTGTATCTTGAACTGTGAACTGAAATAAACCCTTTGTCCCTTCCGTTGCTTTTCTCAGAATGTTTCATCACAGTACCAGAGAGAGGAGCTAAGACAGTATGCTGGGGATTTAGAGCCTAGCTGGGAACCTGCTTGGTAGAACTAACAGCCACAAGCCACCATCGTTCTGGAAGCATCCAGCCTCTGCTACAAGAAGAGCTCACCCAGAAGCCACTGGCCTAGAGCTGAGCTGCTTTTTAGCCAAGCCTCATGCTCATGGCCAGGGCTTAGCATTTGTGGTAGGAAGTTTAGGGAGTGTGGGGGCTGTTGGTGACACAGTAAGAGCCTGCTCGAAACTGACCGCTAATTAATTAGTCCAGAGTGAGTGCCCACCCTATGCTTCCCACTTTAAAACGATTATCACACCATTCCCCCATCACACAGAGAAAGCCGATACTGTACCCCAGTGCAACATCGGAGGAACAGCAGCTTTGAAACAACGACTTGTCCCAGCTCTTAGCTGGGAGGTGATGGGAGGTGATGCAGTCAGAATTAAACTCCAGCACCTCCTTCTTTGGATAATGATAAACTCAGACAAGAGCAAAAACATTACAGGGGACCCACCCTGTGCCCCACATCCTTTCATTCACACGAACAATCAATCAATCCCACTGCACCCTCACAGGCCTACTGGGTAGCTTTCGTTTCTCCGTTTCACATATGAAGAGAACTGAGGAATAAAAAGGTGGCTTTGGACAAAGCCCCAAGGAGCCATACATACCAGAGTTAGGATTCAACCCAGAATGGTTGGATCCCAATTCATTATATCCCCAATAAGTAGTTACAGTAGGTGGACGCTTTAACAACAGAGTCCACAGATGAAAAAAAAACGAGGCTCGCACAGTCCCGAGAAGGTTCTGTGAACAGGCTCAATCCTAGACATCAGAGGCCTGTTGGTTCACACCTGATTGTCCCTGGGTTCCATTCTTCAGGGAGAAGAGGATGAAAATTCCGAGGCTCGGGAAGGGAGCTCCCATATAAGCCAACTAACTTCTGGAGGTCAGTGGTCCCGTGGCTCTCTAGGGGTTCCAGATTCTGAGCTAGGTTCCTGGAGGGACAGGAGGGGACAGATCACTAGCCCGATTCCTGGCCCACTCACCATCTGCTTCTTGGAGACTAGCCTTGTCTCTGCAGCATCTCCCCCGTCCTCAGCAGCTAAAGTCCTGCCGCAAACTCGCTGCCTCTCTCCACTGTCCTAGGAGAAAGTCTCCTGCCATGCCGGGAACCTGGTTTCTTTACTAACGCCAATCTTATTTTTTCTGTCCTTACTCATTCAATAGTGTTTGCTGAGCACTCACTACAGGCTGCAGACCCTGCCTCACACTCTAGTGGATGGGCTAAAAGGCCTAGCTAGGATCAGTATGATATATAGCAGGCTGCAAAGACCTGCCAGCCTACAGGAGGCCATGAGAGGCCTAATTCCTCCTAGAGGCTATCCAAGCAGGAGTGAGAAAGTGTGGCATGCCAATCATCCATTTCCCCTCCCTCCGTATCCAACAATAGTGTCCCCATTTAGAAACGTTGTCCATACCACTCAGCTCCTGGTGTGCTTATGGCATTCTACATATTGCCCATGGCAACACAGAGGCAGAAACTTGAAAGGTTAGTTCAGTCACAACTGTATATCTGTGTGCTTTAAAAACATTCCATACTGATTTAAAAAGTTAAATTAAGTTTAAAAGATTTTTTTTTTTTACTCCCTCTTGGCTTCCTTCCAGCTAGAGATGTCCATGTGGCTCAAGATTGGCCAGTCATAAGTAGAAATTAGTCTACTGGAAGGCCTTCCTAAGACATTGTTTCCCCACTGATGAGACGAAGCCGGTCTTTCGCTCCTCCCACGCCCCCCAGGAACCCTTCACACTTCCTGGGAGGCAGCTGCTACACCTACAACCTAGAGAACCGTCATGGTTGGGCTCCCCCAGTAGGAATCTTGGCATACAGATCCGTTTGATGGTGCTGATTTAGCAGTGTCCCTGGGGGAGTGGAGGGTGACAGATGCCATAGAGAAGTACACCAGAAGAAGAGGCTCACGAGAGTGCACCAGTGGGGAAAGCTCACAGGGCAACCGGGGCAACCATAGAAACAAGTGTAGCTCCCACTTCAGCTCTCCCCTTGCTAACCATTCAAGGCTCAGGCAGCCCGGGGGAAGCTTAACAACCAGCGTGGACAAGCTCGTCAAAAGGAAAGGCATCCCAACAGCCAGTGTGTGCAGAAGGCTAATGGAGTCTCAAGACTGTGCATGAAGCACTAGCCTCCTGCGCTCCTGGGATGAGGGCCCCAGCACAGAGCGGAGGAGGGAGTCCCGAGGAGCCTGATCTTCAGCACTGCTCATGGGCAGCTGGGGCAGGTGCATCCTCTTGCAAAAGACAAGTTGTTCCTGTCCCTGCAGCTAACATAGCCTGAGAAGGCAAGAGGAAGGGAAAGCTATTTGTGGGGATGGCACAGCATGTGCTAATCTGCTCTGAAATCCAAAAGTCAGATACAGTTCTCATTTTGCACATGAGGAAGAGAAACAGCCCAGCCAAGAAGAGACACTTGGTTCAAGGTCACACAGGGATCCAGTGGCAACGGCCTTATCTATTGCAGAGTAAGAGGTCACTATAAATGAAGTACATTAAACAACACACACTTATTATGTCATAGTGTCCTTGAGTTAAGAGACGCAGCACAGATCCTATGCTTCCGTTCCGGAGACTGAAGCCGCATTCAGCCTGGGTGGGAATCTTATCTGAGCTTCAGCTGCAGAAGCCTCGGCTTGCAAGCATTTGCTGGCAGCATTTCAGCTCTGTGAGGGCGAAGGAACCAAACACCCAGCTGGCAG